CTCCTCCGCCTCCTCCTCCTCCTCCTCCTCCTCATCCTCCCTTCTCCTCCTCCTACCCTCCTTCCTCCTCTCTTGTATCCTCCTCCTCCTCCGCCTCCCCATCCTCCCGCCCCTGATGCTCCTCCCTGTCTGCTCCTCCTCCTCCTCCTCCGCCTCCTCCTCCTCCTCCTCCTCCTCCTCCAGCTTCTGCTCCCATCCCTCCTCCTGCTGCTCCTGCTCCTCCTCCTCCTCTTCCTGCTGCTGCGGTTGCCCTTCTTCCTCCTCCTCCTCCTCCTCCCCCTTTTTGTTTCTTCTTATCCCACTGCTTCTCCTCCTGCTCCTTCTCCTCTTCCTCCTCCTCCTCCTCCTCCTCCTCCTCCTCCTCCCGCCTCCTCCTCCTCCTCCTCCGTCCTCCTCCTACTCCTCCTCCTCCTTCTCCTCCTCGGTTCTCCAGGCGCTTCGAGTCGGTCCCCTGAATGTGCATGTGGTGTCAGACCATTTGAGCGCGGTCCTCGAGGGGCAGCCTTGGGACCGTGGCCTGGCGGCCAGTGGTGGGCGCCACGCGGCTGCCTGGAGGCAGAGTTTTCAGCTTTATGGTTGCCCGGGTCCCAGGCCGTCCTTCGAGTGGACCCCAGCTCACCGTGTTTGGGATGATGTGGTCGCGTCGGGATCCGAGGTCGAGGTGCAAATTTGTTTGGGGAACACCCGGGCCGTTTTTTTCGCGCGGATCGGAGCTGGATCCCACGCTGCGGCCCAGACGCTTGAGAAGGTCCGGAGGTCCGTGATCTCTCAGACGCGTCTGACTTTTGACTTTCTGTCCAGAGTTGTTCAGAGCATCGGTGCGTGTGCCCAGGAGCTCTCGGCCTCGTCCCCTGCCCCGAAGCGTAGAGAGCGTGAAGGTGAGTGCGGCCTCGCGCTGATCGAGCACGATCTGTATCATTTCCCGGCTCTTGGGGAGTGGCGGTGTAAGCGTTGCAATTTGTATGCCAAGACCCCCTCCTCCCTCGCCCAACTCCGCTCTGGCAGCCGCCGCCACTGTGGGTCCAGTGCGTTCCAGGCGTGGCAGGTCCAGGCGGTGTTCGCCACGCGCGAAGAGGAGGGGGTGGCTTTCTCATCGGAAGCGGCGCCTGCGGCGATGGGGGCCGCGGTGGGGGTCCTGGGGTCCTCTCCTGGCCAGGCCCAGGCGCCGCCGACCGCAACGCTCACGGCGCGGTTTGTGTCCCTGGGCCATCAGATGGAGCAGGTCGGCCGTGTGGCCTTCTGCTCGTTGTGATCGGCCCACGTTCTACTCCCAGGGGGCGTGCTACGTGGGCTCGAGAAGCGCTGTCTTGGCCGTTCCCTGCGCCCGTCGACTCGGAGTTCCCAGCCGACCAAGATCAGGTATGCGCCCCGTGGCCTCCACCCGCGCACGGGGAGGCCACTTGACCCTATTTAAGGGGGGGGCCTGTCGGGCGCCGCCTCTGCCGCCTGGCAGAGGTAGGTGCTGCAAAATATTGATGCCCCCCCCCGTTCTGCCCAGGGCCTCGCGTTTCTTCCAGGCCCTGGTAAGTCCCGCCCCCTGGAGGGCGCTCCCTTTCCTAGCTGCCCGCGCCTCGGATCCCCCGTCGCGCCAGGTGGTGCGCACCTCCTTCTCTTCCTCCCTCTCCTCCTCCTCCTCCTCCTCCTCCTCCTCCTCCTCCTCCTCCTCCTCCTCCTCCTCCTCATCATCATCATCATCATCATCATCCTTCTCCTCCTCCTTCTCCTCCTTCTCCTCCTCCTCCTCCTCCTCTCAGGATCTTCGAACGGTTGTCTTCCAACGAGGCAGTTCCCCCACTGGAAATGAATTGTTGCAGGGGAGGTTGAAGGGAGGTGTAGCCAACATCGTTGATGACTCTTGAAGGGAGGTGTAGCCAACATCGTTGAAGGGAGGTGTAGCCAACATCGTTGTAGCCAACATCGTTGCAGTTCCCTCAGTTGCCTATGAAGAGGGAGCTTGAAGGGAGGGTGTATTCCAACATCGTTGATGACTCTTGGGTTTACACTTGTCTCCTCCTCCTCCTCCTCCTCCTCCTCCTCCTCCTTGTCTTCCTCCTCCTCCTCCTCCTCCCGTTCCTCCCCTGGTCTTCCTCCTTCTCCTCCTCCTCCTCCTCCTCTTTCTCCTGCTCCTGGTCCTCCTCCTGCTGCAGCTGTTCCTCCTTCTCTCCCTGCTGCTGTTGCCCTTCTTCTTCCTCCTCCTTTTTGCTTTTTCTCATCCTGCTCCTTCTCCTCCTGCTCCTTCTCCTCTTCCTACTTCTCCTCCTCCTCCTCCTCCTCCTCCTCCTCCTCCTCCTCCTCGCCTCCTCTCCTCCTCCTCCTCCGCCGTCTCCTCCTCCTTCCCTCCTCCCTCTCCTCCTCCTCCTCCTACTCCTCCTCCTCCTCCTTCTCCTCCTCCTCCTCCTCCTCCTCCTCCTCCTCCTCCTCCTCCTCCTCCTCCTCTCAAGATCTTCAAACGGTTGTTTTCCAACGAGGCAGTTCCCTCACTGGAAATGCATTGTTGTAGGGGCCTATGAAGAGGAGTCTTGAAGGGAGGGTGAATTCCAACATCGTTGATGACTCTTAGGTTTGCAGTGGTCTCCTCCTCCTCCTCCTCATCCTCATCCTCCTCCTCCTCATCCTCCTCCTCCTCCTCCTCCCCCTCCTCCTCCTCCTCCTTCTCATTCATCATTTCCAGGCTGATGGCGTGTTTCCGGAATTTTCTCGACGAGGGGTGCCAGCGACTCGCACCGTCCGCCACCCTCTCGTTTCTGTGCGTTGGGCCCTCTGGGGCTCGGGGCTGGGCCTACCTTCGCTGGGGAGGGCGACGGTCTAATCAAGCTCTCGGGGTGAGAGCCTGCAGGCAAGACGGCGCGCAGACTGCCGCAATGCCGAGTCCGACCGACGCCCTCGCCCTTTCCTCTTCCTCCCCGTCCTTCCCCAGTCTCTTCGTCCTCGTCCTCCTCGTCCTCCTCCTCCTCCTTCCCCTCCCTCCTCCTCCCTCCCTCCTCGTCCTGCCCCTCCTCCTTCCAGGGCGGGGCCCCATCCGCGACCACCGCCCGGGGGCTCGCTCTGCGGGGGCCTCGGCGTGCGGCTGCCGTCGATAGAACGCTTGGGCCCCGGGCGTCGCCACGACGCTGGGCGCGCGCCTGGAAGGCTCGGTGCGTCTGCGCCCAAGGAGGGGTCCGGTGAATGATGTCGAGGCGCAGTGATCCAAAAGCCTTAATATAAGGTGACCTTTGGGCCCTTCTGTGAGAGAAGGGCGACTTTTTGGAGGCCTTCTGTGACAGAAGGCCTCGTCATCCTTGTCCTCGTCACCCTGATTCTCGTTTTTCTGTATATCATGCTATCTCTGCGCTCATCATCTTCGCGCTTGTGATCACTGTCGCGTTTTTTCCATGCAGTCGTTTAAGCGACCCCCATCCCCATCTCCATCCTCTTCGAGACCCCCACCAAATTACCCCCCTAGTTGGGTATACACCCCTCGAAACCCGGAGGGAACGGCCTATATCCCCATCTTGGGGGGTAAATCGGCCAGTGGGGCCGAGGCCACGCCGCTGGGTATAGGGACCGGATAAACCATGCTCAGAGGCGCCATTGCTGCAACCTGGCCTCCTGCGATACGTGCGAGTACAGCTCTGCACGCTTCGCGTCTCCTCCCCCAGCTCCTCCAGGAACCTTGCCCGTGACAGGGGCGACGAGACACATGGAGTGAAACCTAGTTGGCGAACAGGGTGAAGCAGGGTTTGTCCAGAGAAAGAACCCGTTGAAGCACATTCGTCCACATGGTTGGTGATATTTTGTGTTTTTGATGTTGTTCATTATTATTATCATTATTATTAACGTTAGTATTAATATTCGTATTTTCTCTCTCTCTCTCTCTTCTTAGACCTGGAAATGCCTCTCCGCCCGGGCGGCGGATGGAACAGAGTTCAGCGCCGTGCGAAGGGATGGGCGGCACATGCTTAATGTCAGATGCAGCGCAACCGCGCTCGGCTTGTCGTCCTACCCTCGCCTTTCCTCCTTCTCCTCTCTTCCCCCGCCCCCCTGCTCCTCATCGCAGTATCAGCCCCTGCCTCTGTGAGGGGAGAAAGAGTGGAGAAGAGGTGGGCGTGCTGACCTGAATGTTTGATGTCATCGTCTCCTCATCCTGTATGTGATTTAAGATATGTTATTCCTCTATCATGTTGTGTTCTCTCTCTCTCTCTCTCTATCTCTCTCTGTCTCTCTCTGTCTCTCTCTCTCTCGGTCTTCCTCTCCTGCTGATCGCCGATGCTACCGCTGTTGCTTCTGCTTGTCCTCGTCCTGAACTCCCTCCTCCAGCTTTCCTCCTACCGTACCGCCCCTCCCCCTCCATGAGTTCTCGTTCCCTCATGTCCTCCATCCTCCCAGTCCATCCCGCCCCCCCTCCCTCCATGTCCCTCCCTCTACTTCGGCACCCCCTCTCCTCCCTCCTTTTCTCTCCCCCGACTCTACCCCTGCTCCTTGTGATCCCCCTCCTCCAGCACTCCTCGTCATATTTTCTTGTCGTTCTCGCCCTCGCCCAGCAATCCTCCGCATAATTCTGATCATTACCCTTGTTTTGATCCGCCAGCTCATCCTTCTCTTCCTCCTCCTCCTGCCCCTGCTGCTCGTACTTCGCCGCGTCCTCCATCTCCTCCGCATTCATCCACCTAGTCTGCCTTCTCAGTGCCCTTTGCCGCCTCCTCCCCCTCCTCCCCCTCCCCCTCCTCCTCCCCTCCTCCTCCTCCTCCTCCTCCTCCTCCTCCTCCTCCTCCTCTCCTCCTCTCCTCCTCCTCCTCCTCTCCTCCTCCTCCTCCTTCTCCTCCTCCTCCTCCTCTCCTCCTCCTCCTCCTCCTCCTCCTCCTCCTCCTCCTCCTCCTCTTCCTCCTCCTCCTCCTAAGAATCCGCCGAACGGCTCCCCAGCGCCGCTGGCAGCGCGCCAGGCGACACGGCGGAGGCAGGCAGCAGCAGAGCCCGCGGACGGCTCCCGACGGCCCGCGCGCGCGGTCCGCGGGCGCCCCGAG